AATGAGATGTTTATCTTGTATTTGATTATATTTATCTGCAATTAGTTACACGAATTCATATATGGAGCTTTAATAAGTTGTACTTATGCACAATCTACTTGTAATCTTAAATTTTAAGTAATATGCATTAATAAACAATACTTTATGCATAAAAAAATGATTTTTAAAAAGTTTTATCAAATGCTTTATAGTTAAGCATACATAAGTATTGGTCTTTAAGAGTCAAATGGGGGATATGATATGGTATCAATTGGATGTATCATAAAGAGAAACTAAAGATGTGGGAATTCTTGATGTGAACATAACACTTATCATGGTTTTTGATGGTTCCAAAAGCCAAAAGCATGATAGAAATCATAAAGAGATAATGTGGTCAAATGGGTGATGTCTTGTTTTTGGCATCTTAATTTCGTTGTTTAAAGTTAAGAGTAGCTTGTGTTAGGGGTGATCATGGGTTGGGTTGATCGGGTTGAAGACATTTGAACAACTCAACCCAATGCTTGCGGTTTGGAAAAATCTTAATTCAACCCAAACCAAAGTGCAACCCAACTCAACCCAACCCATACGGGTTGGTCGGGTTGATACTTTGGTATATTATAATATTCTTCTAACCTTGAATATGTTATTTCTCTAGTCATAATTTATTTTTCATCATCAACGATTTTATACAACTTATCCATATTTCTTACGTATATCACATTCAGTTAATTTTCTCAAGTTACATATATATGTTCACATTTACTGAACGTATATATGAATGAGTTATATAGAGATGTGAACAGATTGGAAATATGTGTATATGAAAAGCATACATGATAGTGTAATTGTCTAATATATATATTAATAAAAATTCAACAATCATAATAAATCAAAGAAATAAAAAGATATCGGGTTCATAGGGTTGGGTTGGGTTCAAATAATAGTAACTCAATACCTACGGTTTGACAATTTTACAACTCGATTAGACATCGGGTTGCTTTGGGTTGGGTTATTTTGCGTTGGGTTGATCATGTTGGTCGAGTTTTTGAGCACCTCTAGCTTGTGTCTTATATTTGGTTTTTATTGGTTATTTTATTTTGATTTTTAAGTTTAATTGTTTTATTACAAACTAAGCCGAATAAATGAAGTATATCTTAACGTAAGGTATTGGGGAAGGGCGTAAGCATAAGTTTCCTCCACCCTCGTATTTTTATTGTATTAGGTTCATATCGCTTTTGAAGTACCATGGAATATTAGATGAACTCTGATACATTGAAAGCAATTTGTTAGGCGACTTGCACCAAGTAAGGGAAGGCAGTGCAAGCACCTGCCGAGGGTCCAAAATCTTTTTAGTGTATATTAGTAGTCCAAAAAAGTTAGTATATAAAAGAGATCCAAAAAAATCAGTATATAATAAGAGGCTAAAAAATATCAGTAGATAACAGAGATCCAAAAATGTATTAACTGATTACATTGGAAATATAATCAAAAGATGTTGAACAATCATCTGTTACATGCTACTGTTTATTGTTTATCTAAGTTTTTATGTCATACCAAAGCCCAATGATATTGGTTACTGTTACATCTATATGTTTGATTGTTTTCGTGATTAAACAATTGAGCAGATGACAACTTTAAGCTCATGTGCTTGTTATTGCTATATGTTTTTTGTGGGATATTTTTATTTGCTTATGCTTCTATTGACTATTGTTATTTGCTTATTTTGTTCGCATAATTGCTTTTCTTGGTTATTGATGTCTATTTTTTTCCTTCTATGGTTGATATCGTACTACTCTTTTACGGTCCATTATTGTTTTAATGAGTTGTGACGTGTTTTCATGGTTTTGTGATTAATCAATAAATTTATCTGTTTAAATGAATTCAATGAGTTCCCTTTGATTTGTCATTTTCCATGAACCTTTTAATATTTTGTAGAGCAAGAAAAAAGGAAAAAGAAATTCAAATATTCCAGTACACATCACAAGATATGGTTTAAGTGCTCAACCAACTAGTCATTCAATCATTGGAGTTTGGAGATCTGTCTCATTCATTATTTGTTCTTATTAGATCTCAACGAATCATCTTTTGTTTAACATTTGCATTGATCCTGATTTGCCTCTTGTCCAGAAAACTCGAACTCTTAGGAGGCGTTTGGTTCGTAAAATGGAATTCGATATAATTGGAATTCATCAAATGAATTTGACTTTGAGGGAATGGAATGAAATTTGATGGAATTTGACCATGTCTTTTGATTGCGTTTGGTTGGATGGAATTGGAATTTTTTTTTGTTTCGTTCACGGAATTCAACGAGAAAATTACATAGATGGCATTTCTAGAATACATTTATTTTACACCTAAAACGTAGTCTTGCATCTTGTTTAAAAAGTCGATTTCATTTAGAAAAATATATTTTATTCCTCAAGTCAAACAATATTGACTTTTGCACATGGTCAAACCACCTTATTTTGCAAACCTTTGGCTACGTAAAGAGTTAGGATCAATTTTTTACTTCTCAAACATTTATCATTTCTCAAACCTTTGGTTATATATATATATATATATATATATATATATATATATAGGAGGGATATTTTGCAAACCAAACTATTTGTACAAACCATGAAATCCATTGATTTCATTGTTTATTTTAGTAGAAAAAAAAATTCATGAAATTGTTCAATATGATAAAATTGTTTCAAATAATTATAGACATTATCATCTTCATCTATTAATTTTAGTACACAAATTTCATTAAAATGATAAATAATATTATATAATATAGAGAGAGTTGGGTTCATGCGAGACAAGGTTTGTTTTTGTGAGACACCTGAGACATGATTTTTATACTTGAAACTTCAAAACAAAATATTGTGAAGGTAAAAAAAAATCGAATCTTCACAGTAAAAGCACTGTGAATGTGTTTTTTTGTGAAGTTTCAAGTGTAAAAATCATGTCTCACAAAAAGTCTTGTCTCACGTGATCCCAAGTCTATATATATATATATAGGGTTGGGTTCACGTGAGACTAAGGGTTTTTCGTGAAATCCATAAGACCAATTTATGTTCATTGATCAACTTTATAAGCTAATGATCTAATGGTCTAAAGTTGCACAGTGACAATTTTATGATTATTGAGAAGTCTCGTGGCAATTTTATGATTATGAATGTTCAGATTGTAGATCTAATCCATGGGTTGATAATTGGTCTTACGGATCTCATGAAAAACTCTTGGTCTCACATGATCCCAAGTCTATATATATATATATATATAGAGAGAGAGAGAGAGAGAGAGAGAGAAGTTTACTTTGCAAACCATGTTATTTGTACAAACCGTACAAACCTCATTCAACCGATCATAATTTTTTATTTTGTTATTTTTTTGTAATTATGATATGTTGATTAATCATTTTTATTTATTGTGGAGGGTGTTAATCATGGATATTATCATCTTTATTATTTTAATTTTAGAGAAATATATGAAACAGTTTCATTAAAATTTCATTAAGTATTGTATTAAACAATTTCATAACCTTATATGAAACAACTTTATCAAAAAGAAAGTATTATATGAAACAATTTCACAAACGATAGCTAACAACAGTCGATAGAGAATCTGATTGTTGGCGTTGGCAACGCGTTTATCAAAAACGATAGCTGACGCTGGAAACGCTGATGGAAACTACTCATCCCTTGTTTTCTTTTCTAATCTTTTCCTTTCCATCCTAAAAAACCACTCACCAATGTCATTATGCTTTACTAATTACTACTACAAAAACCAAGTATTAACAATCATTTCATTTCAACTAATCCATCCATTCGACCTAACTGGATCATGGATAGTGTTCAAAACTCCACATATGCACGTTTAGAGGATGTTTGGTTGGTTTTCTATTAAGAAATAAAGCTGACCGAACAATCATATATAGCTGACCGAATAAGCTGTAAATTTGTTAACAAGAACGCTCTTACTAAGTCTTTCACAGGATTATAGCCTAGAAGCCATGAGTTTAATCCCACTCTTCTATTGACCAGTGGCACACTAGGTAAGCGTTTACTGTATGTCATTTACCTTACGGATAAGCATTGTAAGGATCTAGATTCTTACCTGGTAAGAAGCAGATTAGTATCAAGAAAGAAGATTCTTACATAGTAAGCGTTTGCCGAGTAAAAACGCTTACCGACAGTCTGTTTTGGTGACCAACAATGTTACCCAATAAGGTAAGTGATGGTAATGATCTTGCTGGTAAGCACTTATCCGATAAGTGTTTGGTAAACGACCGCTTATTATTGTGAAGTGTATTATTTCTTAAAGATTAGTGGTGTTAAAAAACCGCCATGTAGACAATATAAGTCATTGGGTGTGTGATAAAACCATGAGACGAGACTTGCATCTGCAGATATAGAATATTGTATGATCAGAGTAATGTCTCTATCCCCTTGTTGAACTAAGATTGAAGAAATATGTGCATGCTCATGTAGACAGTATATGATCAAATGAAAAATATTTTCGTGATGCTTTGATATCATGTTTTTATACGATTCAATTATATCCTGTAAGCATTTACGGTAAGAGTCAACATCATAGTTTTACTTTATCGGGTAAAATTGTAGTCTATCAAAATGCTATAGTATGCAAAAATTCACCAAATAAGAACTTTACCCGATAAGATTCGTCACCCTCGGAAACCGGATAAGTCTCTTCATCCTTATCATCGATCTTACATTCTCGGTTACTGCCATGCTCAATCAGCAACAAGTTTGAAGCTTCTCTTTTATCGTTAGATCGTCATCTCTCTCTCTCTCTCTCTCTCACACACACACACATACACACACTTGTATTCTTATATGATTTTTTAGCTTCTGACGTGTAGCTCAGTTGGCAAATGAGTGAAGTGACTTTGCCCATATACAGGACAAGTCCTGGATTCAATCCCAGGCTCCCCGCTAGGCTCAGCCGCTATGTGAATCAAAAAATGCCTCTGATATTGATGTCTTCGGGTTTTATATGGGACTGGTTGAGATTACCGATAAATAACTTGATATGATTTGTTAAGAATTAGTACCATAATATTTGGATAGACAAAAATATTTTAGAATTTCTTATATGGAAATAGTGATGACCAAAAACCAGTCCCGATCCCAAAAAATGACGAAATGTGTAGCCGGTTTGTAACCACCGGGCCTATAATCGGTCCCGGTCTCATGACAGTCCCGATTCCGATCCTCCAGCCGTCCCGGGCCGGGCCGGTTTGGCCAATGGAACTATGGAAGGGCGTGTCCATTTGTAGAGTTTTGGGCCTAAAAGAAGTGCGGTTTTTTTAGATATGCCGACCAGTCCAGTAGTGCTCTCCCTCCTTCCCTGCAAACATCAGTTCTTTCTCACTCTCACTGCTCTCTCGACCTCTGGCCTTCTGACCAGTCGTCACTTTGCTTCTCTGCCCTACCTCTCCTCTCTTCTGGCTACTGCTGGACTCCGTGTAGGATCAAGTTTGTAATCTATAATTTTGGTAAATTCTTTGATTCCTTAATCCTAATTTTTTTGATTTTTCATAGATTAGGTTTATTTGATCAAGTTGGTTTTGATTATTGATTGCTAATTTGCTTTTGATTTTTCATAGATTAGGTTACTAAATTTGCAATCGAACGATATTAATTTCAGCTATGAATTTGAATGTTGTTTGAAGAAGTCCTACGGAATTAGACATTGAAGCCCTTAATTGCTTCTTTTATGTTTTGGTATGGATTTTGAGAAAATCAATGATCATACATTCTAATAAGAATGGGACTCACATACACACTAAACTCACCTTTTTCTGTGTGTGTTTTCTTGGATCTTCCTTCTTTGGGGGTTTGTTTCTTGAATCTCCACAGCCTTATTAATAAGCAGATTAGTGTCATGATTTTTGTTTCTTAGATACCGCGTAAATTTGCTTTTGTGGGTTGTAAGAAAAGTCGCAAAACATGAATATTGGGTGCACGGTTTGCATATAGAGCAACCAAGCATGAACTATCAACTTAACTTGAGAATGGATTTTGTGGATTTTCCTCCCTTGGTGATGAATTCTCTGTAAGAGTTTCGAGTCAATTTGTTTAGCCCAATATTTCTCCACTGTTTTAAATCTTGTACTACATATAAGGACTTGGGTTGACTAGAGGGGACAATTTATGAAGTGACCACTGATAGGTTACACACCCTTATGCTATTTTTAAAAATGTATATGATCTATTATTGTGAAAATGTGTGTGAAGATTTGCACATTGAGGTAGCGTTCGGTACGCATACATAATTGGACAGGACAAGAGGGTAGGACTGGACAGGACTGAACATAACAGGAGTATGTCTGATGTTTGGTACGACTAGGACTGGACGAGACAGAATTAGACAAGCTACCCCAAAAGTTATTTGATGATTTTAAATATTATATAATAGTTATAATTAACACAAATAAAGTAAATAATTGAAGAATAAATATTTGTACATAATTTTCATATTTATACCAAATTTGAATGAAAATTTTGATATAACTGATGGTAGTAATGGTGGTGGTGGAGGTGGTTTTGGTTATGGTGGAGGTGGTGGTGGCCGGCGGTAGTAGTGGCAATGGGCGGTGGCCGACAGTGGTTATGGAGGTAGAGGCAGTGGTGCTTGGTGGACAACGGTGGTTATAGAAGACATGAAGATGGTAGATTGTGGTGGTGGTGGCAGTTGACAACGGTGGAGGAGGTAGTTGTGGACCTTGTGGTTGATGTAGTGAAGATAGTGGTGGTGGTGGTTATGGTGGAGGTGAGGTGTTAATGAATGGTGGTGGCTGATGGTGGTCATGGAGGTCGTGGAGGAGGTTGTTGCAGTAGAGGAGGAGTTGAAGGTGGCGAACGGTGGTAGTGGTGGTGGCAATGGACGGTGGTGGTTGGTGGTCGACTATGGTAGAGATGGCAATGGACTTGGTGGACAGTGGTTGTGGAGGCGGTGGAGGATGTTGTTGTAGTGGAAGAGGAGGTGGAGGTGGCCGTCGGTGACTGCCAGTAGTGGTGGCGGCAGCCGAAACTAGCGGTGATGACCATTAAAACAAATACCATATTAAGGTTATATATCAAACTATGGTATATTAGTAATATTTTAGTTTATGTCTCATTCTTGTCCCATCTTGTTCCACCTATTTTGGTGGAACAAGAAAAAACCTCTTTTGTCTCATGCTGTTCCACCATGTCCTAGTTCTTGTCCCTGTCCCATGTCACGCCAAACATAGGACAGTGAGTTCTTGTTTTGTCCCATGCTGCACCAAACATGGGACAGTGGGTTTTGTCCCATGTACCAAACGCAGCTTGAGTGTTTGTGACCAAATTTGATGCTGGAAATTATTACTACCTGCGGAGTAAGTTTTTTTTTTAAGTATATAATATTTATATACGACAAATGCAACAAATAAACTCACACACCCTCCTCACTTATGGTAAGGTTTGAATCTCTGACCTCCTAGAAAGCCAAGGGCTACGATACCGCTAGGCCAAAGCCCCTTTACAGAGTAAGTTTTTGTCAACTATCACATAAGTCATGCAAGACATAATCATGCATATGTGAAAATATGCTTTTAAATTTATACTTTGATCTTATTGTAAAAATATGCAGCTACTGCTAAATGCTTTTTTCTTGATTGATTGACTATTTGAAACATCTTGATTTTTTATTGCAAACTAATCATCATGTATGATACCGTATACTTTGGTCTAAATTTGCTTATTCTTGCAAACTGTAATGTTCTTATGCTTTTTTTTTTGCAAAAATGATGATCTGTATGCTTCACTCTTACTCTCCCAATGGTTCCTTGTCTTTATGACATATTTACCCTTTCCTGGTTGTGAAACCTGAGTTGTTCTAGTGATTTTGAGTTTTTGGAATTTGTTTTAATCACATGTAGTCTTACTCAAATGCTTAATACTAATTGCATATTGGAAGATTCTTGCCCTTAAATTCTAATCCTTTGTTGCAGGAAAACTGAGGCAAGACCAAGGGTATTCATTCTCGTGTTAGGAGGAAGTTTAAAGGAGTATTTTTGTAACTTCTTTATCAAAAATATTTCCCCAATGTCTTCCCTGCCAAACACAAAACCAAAAAGCAGATGATTTGCAGAGCCTTAGCAAAGCGTGATCGGAACTTCTTCCTAAACTTGATCACCAAAGCCACCAATCAATCCCATCTTCGCCAAACCCACGCCCAAATCATCCTCAATGGTCTAAATACTGACTTAGCCACCGTCACAAAGCTCGTTCAAAAACTCTCCGACCTCGCCGCCATCTCCGATGCAACCCTCATATGTTCCAACTTTCCCAACCCTGATCTTTTTCTCTACAATGTTATAATCAGAGGATTTTCTCGTAACAATAACCACTCGAATTCTCTGTTCATCTACCGCCAACTGCGTGAAAACACTGCTCTTAAGCCAGATAATTTTACTTATGCATTCGTTATTTCTGCTGCATCGAAGCTTTTGCGTAATAAAGTAGGCTTGTCTCTGCATGGGCATGCCATTGTTGGTGGAGCTGGATTGGATTTATTTGTTGGGTCTGCCATAGTCGATATGTATTTGAATTTTGGTAAGGTGGGGTACGCATACAAGGTGTTTGATGGAATTCCTGAACCAGATACTGTTCTGTGTAATACTATGATATCAGGGTCAGTTAAGAACGGTTGCTTTGACGAGTCGATACAAGTTTTTAAAAACATGATTTTGAGAGGAACTCCATTCGATTCCACCACTTTTGCCGCTACTCTTACGGCTGCTGCAGAGTTGCAAGAGTTGAAAGTTGGAATGGCAATCGAGTGTTTGTCGATTAAGCTTGGATTTCATTGGCATGCTCATGTTCTTACGGGTCTTATATCATTATATGCAAAATGTGGGGATATGTCAACAGGAGAACGTTTGTTTGAGCAGATCAAACACCCGGATATAATAGCTTACAATGCTATGATTTCTGGGTTCAATTGTAACCAAGAAATGGAGTCCGCTATTGCCCTCTTTAGAGAGTTGTTAGTTTCGCATCAGAGAGTCAATTCAAGTACTATGGTTGGTTTGATCCCTGTGTTTCATCCCTTTCGTCATTTGATTCTTTCAAGTATAATCCATTGTTTTTGTTTGAAATACGGTTTGATTTCGAAAACTTCAGTTGCAACCGCATTGGTAACAGTCTACAGTCGACTTAATGAGATTGATCCAGCAAGAAAGCTATTTGATGAATCCTCAGATAAAAGCTTAGCAGCTTGGAATGCAATGATTTCTGGTTATGCTCAAAATGGAGTAACAGATAAGGCAATTGCGCTCTTCCAAGAGATGCAGAAACTCAACATACCTCCAAATCCTACAACGATCACCAGTATTCTTTCGGCATGTGCTCAGCTTGGTGCTCTAAGTCTAGGAAAATGGGTTCATGATTTAGCAAGCAAGGAGAACTTTAAGTCCAATATATACGTTTCAACTGCCTTAATTGATATGTATGCCAAATGTGGAAGCATAGAAGAGGCTCGTCAAGTATTTGACACCATGCCTGAAAAGAATGCAGTGACATGGAACGCTATGATCTCTGGTTATGGTCTCCATGGCCATGCTCATGAGGCACTCCAGATTTTTGACAAAATGGTGGATTCAAAAGTACCCTTAAGCGGGGTTAGTTTCGTTTCTGTATTATATGCTTGTAGCCATGCTGGATTGGTGAAAGAAGGAGAAGAGATTTTCTATGCAATGGTCCAAGATCATGGGTTCGAACCCTTATCCGAGCATTACGCTTGTATGGTTGACCTTCTTGGTCGAGCTGGAGAACTACAAAAAGCTTTGGACTTTATCAAGAAAATGCCCATCGAGCCAGGTCCAGCCATATGGGGTGCACTTCTTAGCGCCTGCAAGACTCACAAGAACACCGAACTAGCACGACTAGCATCAGATAAGTTGTTTGAATTGGATCCAGAAAATGTAGGTTATCATGTCTTACTCTCCAACATACACACTGCTGATAAAAACTATGATGAGGCTGCTTCAGTTAGACAGGTGGTCAAGAATCGAAATCTTGCAAAGACTCCCGGATGCACTCTAATAGAAATCGACAAAATCCCACATGTATTCACATCTGGACAACGATCCCACCAAAAAACAGAAGCAATTTATGGGAAGCTGGAGAAATTGATGGGTAAGATGAGGGAAGCTGGATATCAGACAGATACTATGACAGCATTGCATGATGTTGAGGAGGAAGAGAAGGAATTAATGGTGAAGGTTCATAGTGAGAAATTGGCCATTGCTTATGGACTTATGAACACAAAAAGAGGAAGTGAGATCAGGATCATAAAAAACCTTAGAGTGTGCATAGACTGTCATAACTTTACCAAATTTATATCCAAGATTACTGAAAGAGTTATTGTTGTGAGGGATGCCAATAGGTTTCATCATTTTAAAGATGGTCAATGTTCTTGTGGAGATTACTGGTGAAGGGATTGTCTTCATAGACATTTTCTCATTTCGAAGACTTTCAACCACTGTGCTTGATCACGTTACGCATTCCTGGATGGCAACCCCAACGATCAACTTGCAGGGTTAAGAAGGTAATTATGTCAAACATTTTTCTTAAAGTGCCAAGTCAAACATTGTTTTTTTTTTTCATTTCGGCTCTCCATCACTGCTTGGATTTCGATAACATTTACTGCTAGATTTTTCTCCATTTCTGCTTGATTTTAGACAATCGATCCCCCTGTGTCATTATTTATGCATCGCCTACCTTTACTTGTGCTTTTTCTCTATAGATTACTTGGCTTGAGGTGATTGGAGTCCACATAAACTGTTAAGGGTTTGGAATGTATAGCAGGTTGAACCATGTGGCATTGCTTAGTTAAGAGTAAGGGTTTAGATGTGTTCATGGAATCTGATTTACTACTTCACGTTCTTGGATGTCAAGTTGTTATGTATGTTGTGCTGTGGTATATAGCCTGAAATGCTATTCACAACCCTTCCACTTATTCTATCATTATTTCCCAAGTTGATTTCTTGAAAGGTGGAGTGGACACAATTTTTGGGGTTTGGTGGGTTTCTTTGATTGATTAAATTTTGAAATGGGCATGTCATTTCCATATTTGGGGTCGTCATTGAGCAAAAGAAGGAATGGTGTGAAAGAATATCTGAAAGCCCAATATCATGGAAAACGGTGAGTTAGAATCAGCTTCTTTCCTCATATCCATGATGAATTTGTCCGGTCTTCTTTCGCTTAGAAATAAAACTGTAAGTGGTCCATGGATGATGCCTGTTATAAAAAGTGATGGTTCTTATTCAACATATACATTCTCCATGAGGCTTCTTTGGTGGATTACTTTGACAGTTGACCTTCTAAGCACTTTTGTTACTTGTGTTTCTTTCCTTCATTCTCTCCCATTTTCTGTATCCACTTTGTTGTGTTTGCTGTATGGACATACCTTCTGCCTCACTGTTGCCTCTTGCCAACACATGTTCTTGCCTGAGAATTGGCAAATGAGTTTGAAAATTCAGTGTTAGCTACTGTTTTCAAGTATTTTTTGGGAAAATTTTAGTTCTTTTTGTCTTCAGAAGCCAAGCCAAGCCAAGCCGGCTCTTATTTTGAGCTTATCATGTCTGTTTAATCCATTATTTGGTAGTGAACTTGTAATTGCATTTCTTGGTTGCAGCCATCTTTACTGTGTTAAAAGGATCTGAAGAAGAAAGAGACAAGTTAACATCTTATGAAATGGTATGAATATAGGTTATCTTGTCAAGCTTGGATTAGGAAATAGAAGATCATTCGGGTGCATATGCATTTTGATATTTCTTTTATGTACTTTATCCATATTTGTGTGTATGTTCCTTGGTAACAAGCATAATTTAAACCATTGCCACCATCCTTGTATAATTTCCACATGACAAGTATAAAGTGACAATTACCCTCTCCGTATCTGCTTTGAACTTTCCAAGCTTTTTGGAATCTTACAATCAATCTTCAAAACTATGATGGTTGATTTTTTGGTGCCTTGGTGCTGCTGTTTTGACTAGAGAGGATAGTGCAGTTCTATGGGAATAGCCGCTCCCAACAAGAGAAGCAGATTACAATATACTTGATGAAGGGTTAGGGAAACACTAATCGAGCAAGTGCTGCATTGCAAGGATTGCTCTTAGGTTAAATTTGCTTAAAATCTTTATTATCCCCAGCATACATATGATATACATTTGTGTTTTTCCCTAGACTTATGCTATTATGTTACCAGGTTCGCGCACTTGGAAACAACACCTTTGCATAGAGATCTTTTACCAGCTGAATTGTGAAAAGAAGCAACGACTTTTCAAGTTCAGATCTCTCTTTTTTCCTTCTCTTCATCACCTTATTTTGGTATGATACCTGCATTTTTTTAATTTGCATTGAATGTTTACGGGTACAATATCAACTTGTGGAATTAGCAGCAGAGACGGAACCAGGAATTTTGGTGAGGGTGAGCAAATACATAATGTCATCATATTGATGAAATAATCATATAAACGTAAGAATGGAACATTGACGTTTACAAATTTCAATAGTGACATTGACAAGTTTTCATTTTCTGAAATGTGTGTATGACGTCTTGGTCAATAACCTAACGAAAGCATCCTTTTCTGGCCCAACACTAGCTCTGTCCCTTATTAGGAGACGAGTTTATTGGATCCTTGGGGCCTGTTCGGTAACAGCTTAATGAGCTGTATAGCAGATATGGCTGATTCGCAGAGCCATACCTATGTGTTCGGTAAGAGCTTAATCGCTCAAACAGGAGCTGAATCGGTCAGCTACAAAACAACTCTCCTATCTACTCGGCCATTAAATTGATCTCGGATGATGATGAAATGTAGGGTTTTGAAGCACGGAGTTCATACCTAGGATTAGATTGTGACAGTGATTCCTAAGCTCATGAGTGCTGTTGTAGTATGAATTCAATAAGCAAAATGAAATACAGTAAGCTCTTTTGATCATTTGAATGTTACATAATTTGTTTTAGCTTAATTAGTAGTCTTGTGAAGATATAAAGGACCAAAATGCACTAATTATCTACCTGTGTTGTTAGAAAATTGGTACTGTTGAGTTGAAGGCTTTCCTTTTAAATATTTGTATGCATTTTTAAATACTTATCTCTTTCATATTTCGTTGGAAAATGTTTTTCATTACATATCATGGCATGTAAAAAAATCTGCAACTTTTAAGACATTATTTTTCGTAATCTAGAGAGAGCTATCTCCTGCTACTTTTTCTTCATACAGGTTGGACTCTTGTGGGAAAGCGTAAGAAGGGATCTCCACCCTTGGATACACATTAGGATGAGATGCACCGGATCAATCTCCATGTCCAACGCGATTCATGGGTGGGAGTTGAGATTAAAGGTGATCAAGAATTCAAATCTCTTCTTACGTGTCTCACTTTTAACTCTCATTTTTACACGGTATTTCGCCTCTTTCATACTCGGATAAGTTTGTCAATATACGTAAAATGTTTGTAGAGATTAAGAGCATCTCCAACAGCTTCTCTAAAATAGAAAAAAAAAATGAGTTTTTGTTCTCTAAAATGCTCCAAGAGCTTTGTTATCTTGTTATCTAAAATAGAGAATCATGAAGAAAACTCTAAATACAGAGAATTGTCTAAAACTTGGGCTTGGGAGAGAGTAGGTTATTTTATTTAATTCCCTTAATGAGATTGAGTTGTTATTTTTTTTAATAACTTCTTTTTAAAGTATTGATATGATAAATAAGATAATATTATAATAATATAATTTATGTTAAAATCTCTAAAATAGATAATCTGTTGGAGATGAATGTATTTCTTTTTAAAAAAATCATGTTTTGGTTCTCTTTTTAGAAAAATTGTAGAAAAAACTGTTAGAGATGCTTTAAGAGGTTATTTATCAAACATTTACGTGGTAAGTGCTTATATGGTCATTTTCTATTCCGGATGAACATGAAAAAGCTATGAATCGCACCCAGTAAAAAAGAAACTAAGGACTAAGGGGTCGTTTACCAAATGCTTATTCGAGTAAGCGCTTGCTAAGTCACATTCCCTTACCGGATAAATATGGCAAGGACCAAAAATCTTATCTAGTAAGAGCGAAGGCAAGGACCGAGAATCTTACACGGTAAGTGATGGTGACGACTCGTACCACGGTTAGTGTTTAACGGGTAAATTGTTACATACGATGTCGTTTTGGTCGACTAAAATCTTATTCGGTAAATAAGCAATAGAGTTGAATTTTACCGTTAAATACGTACCAGGTAAGTGTTTAGGTAAACGGCCCTAAGAGTTTTACCCTGTAACTGAGAGTGACAATTGTTACCCGGTTAGTGGTTATTGGATAAATTGTTGCATACCAGGCATAGAAATCAAAAGAAAAACAAAAGCACCGCACAAGCGACAAAAACGCAAAGAAACGAAAAATAATGGTTTTTGTCCATGTGGTTTGTAGCTAATTGTTTGTTTTCATCTCCAAAACTAACTCTGTTAGTGGTTTACCATTCGGGATAGAAACGGGGCGGGTAATGCATTTTCCGTCCCCAACCTTGCCCTAACTAATACCCGACAGGTTCGGGGAACCCGTTTACTAAAAACAATGTATTTTAAGATTAAAATTACGATATTAGTTACCAATATTGAAAATCGAATCTATTTGGCATTTAATAATAAATATACGCATATATACATATATATTTATTTATACACACATTATATACATATATTTAAAAAAAATAAAAAATAATAATCGTGGTCGGATTAGGGACAAGTAATGTCATCCCCAACCCTGCCCTGACCCGCATCGAAGTATGAAAATAAATCCTCGTTTTCATGTCGTTACCTGTCAAGCCATGGAATCTCTGCCTCGATAGGGTCGCATATCCGCCCCAACGGTTAAATTTTCCATCTCTATTTACCACAAAACAATATATTGTGAACTATATATTGTGAACTATAGAGACAAAAAAATACAATGAATTATAAACCCCAGAACTATAAAGCGATAAAAATGAAAGACTATTTATTTAAATCGTGAATTCTCAAATGAAATGTCTTTATCGTAAAAGCAACATCGTTCCTAAACCCACCATTTTCGTGATGAAAACTCGTTAATTAAAATACTCATTTACATGAAACAAAAACTCAATACTCACACAACCAAAATAAAGCTTGGTGTTCAAATACCGAAAACATGAATAAAATTGGAGTATCCCAAAGATTTAAATATAAACAATAAACATCTAAAACGTCAAATCGTGGATACTCTTCATACCCAAAACATGGATAAAATGTTGTATCCAAAACTCACCTTTCAGTGACGAGAGAGACCCGATTCCAATTAAATGTGATGGAACACAAAAGTAGGTCATGTATTTATGTTATATGAGCGTCACTTATGGATTATACGTTCATTAAGATCAACCAATTCAGGCCTTATAGTTTAATGAGAAACAAGCTCAACTACTTCAAGTCTATTGCTTGTGGAGTCACCATTCAAGTTCAACCATACTAGGTCTATACCTTGGAATCTATACAATCCTAGTTAGGCTCATTGACAAGAAATTACATTACACTGGTCAGTGGTCGATGCCCAACTTAAACAGCCTATACCATATTGCCTATGAAAACCCAGTGCCTATTTCACGTTACATTACAAGAATATTCATTTCATTCAAACCGACTCTTATGTCTATGGATCCATTACATTACAGTCTAAATTACACAACCCTAAATAAATAACCACCCACTCAAAGCATGTAACATGTCAAATAAACATGACATATAAATAATAAAATGCATTTAACAAACGGTTATACAAACACATGCTCCAAAAGTATGATTAACTCAAAAACCTATCATTGACATTCTCCAAACGAAATCATACTATTTATATCTTCAAAATACTTTATAACACAATAATATGTATTTTCCAAATGGTTTACAAAATCAAAGACGCTAAGAGTGCATTAAGATCAAAATCTTCGTTTATGAAATAAATGATCAAAATAACATACTCTAAAGATTTATATCAAAGTGTCCAAAAATCCAAATATGAACATTTCACAAGATTTATAAAATCAAATGTGCCAGATGGCTCGTTATTTGATCATCGCCAAGAGGGTACGATTCAAGGACGAAAACATCAAACCGCATAAAATTTTCACAAACCAATCGGCCCTTTTTCGTAGGAGGGTACCCAACATACTCGGCCTTAGACAAGAACTCGGTTGCCTCCTAGCCAAAACTGCTATGTCGAGCTCCACGATAATCAATACTCGGTTCAACCTCAACGTTTGATACATTACACCACTACCGAAGGTGAACACAACATCTATACCAACGGGTAAACTCTTCTTACCCGTCGTTGGTTGTCTCCCAACCTTTAGCGAGTCACACCTCCTTGAAAGTCGGTTTTCAACTTCAACTGCTCACTCCCACTAATGTTGCCCATAAGTGAATTTACTCCTAAATTTTCTAACACCCTCTATCAAACTACGATGCGCTTCTCCCTTGCATTCAGAACTTTAGTAGCATTTGCAAAAGTCAATTCGGCTATAATTAGTCATACTCCTTTGGAATCAGAGTACTCACAGCCATGTCGGCTTTATCTGGGTGGTAAAGGAATCATGCATAAACATTAATGAACAGATCACCCGCTAACACTGCTGAATCAATATAATACCTTGACTAATCAAAGTTTCCTCAATATACGTAAGGTCTACCTCGGACATTCCCATTAAATTTCTCCAAAAAATCATTACCATAAGAGATTTATAATCCTTTCCTTGACTAAAGTCTTAACAACGTAGTTTGGTTTTGTTCAATTCAACTCTGAATCCGTACACTAATCATCACCATTACACAAAAACCGTAAGGATATGCAAAATTCCGTATTGATCAAACTTGAAGTCTACCAGATAAATGTCTAGGTGTAAAGTCTGACTTAGCAGAGTCGAAGTTCGGATAAAGAAAAATCAGAGTTCCGTTGTAAGAAATTTAGAGTTCCATTCTAGAATATTCTCTCTCAAGCTTATACGTAGATCACTATCAATGACAAATGACTTTCATGCTCCAATTATCAAGTTTAATGAATATCTCGATTGTTTCTTAATATAAAATATTGATCATGATGTTGATACATTTTCATAATATCCAAATCATAATAAGTAAACTTTCATCGTTTCTATAAATATCTCAATTAATTGACCTGTATACGTATATGTATTTGTGTGTATATATAAGGGCTCGTTCATTTGTTAATCATATATTTGGTGTTAGCTATGTAAACCAATTATGACATTTAATTTATTCAATCTAAAGGTTAAGCATCAGTGTCATTTTTTATAATAATAGTAAAATGAACGCGTGATGTGTCATAATGAACATTGGACAATAATAAACAAGGTAAATTTGAAAAAATTAGAAGCTTTTATCATGCATCGATTTCAGTTCCCATGAATCTCCTTCACCGTTTTGAAACTGAAATCAATCATATTTTATTTGTTCACTTAGGAACGGTTTATTAGTTCATCAATGAACATTTATATGATAAATAACAGAAGTTGGTAGCTATAAAAATTATTCACTAAAAAACCTTTGATCGGTTATTTGTGTATTAATGTCTCTAGTTCATGCATGAACATCATGTGAACTAGGTTTATTAATGAACACCAGAAACAGAGAAATCATCCAAATCATTGAAAAGGATGATATCATTATCATCCCTAAAAAAACAAGCTATTATTTTTTTGTAACATCCCATTTAATTCAATGAAGTAACTTACAAATGAAAAATATTTGTATACTAATCATTGACTCTAACATTTGAGATAACCATGATTAAAGAATGATTTTGATTAGTCCAACAAGTTCACAAAATTATCACCTATTTTTTGGTTAACAAAAAATCTTCCCCATATATATATCTATATATATATATATGTATATACATGTATGTATATATATATAGGGTTGGGTTCACGTGAGACAAGGTTTTTGGTGAGACCCATAAGACCAATTTATGTTCATTGATCAACTTTATAAGCTAATGATCTAATGGTCTAAAGTTGTATAATGGCAATTTTGTGATTATTGAGAAGCCTTGTGCCAATTTTGTGATTATGAATGTTCATATTGTAAATCTAATCCAAAGGTTGAGAACTGGTCTTACGGGTCTCATGCATATGATCATTGTGGATATGATGAAAGTATGTCCAACTTTTATTCACATATGATCATAGCATGCTGAGACACATACATTCACATGCATACTTGTGTTTCATTAAACAGATAATAACATTAGGATCAAAAAGTAACATGAATATGTAAACAATGAACATAACCAAAAAGCGATCTAAGTGAAACAAATCCAACTATACCCTTTTCTTTTATTCATTTGTAATACTACTGACTGACCTTTGTCGTTAGTATGATTCGTTCATGTTCTGATGGTAGCAGTTGTTGTTCTACGACGCTTTGCACCCCAGTCAAGCAGTTCCAACTTCGCCATCTTCTTTTTTGTACCAAGATACCCTTGACAACTTGAAGCGCCACAATGGCACTTTACCTCCGCCCCAAATTGCACAAACCTAAAATAACACTTCTAACAATCTTTACATAACATACAAGTCAATCGGAAAAATCAATTTAAAACCTGTGACACAAATAGTTATTGACGTAACCATAACTATTTTCAGAACCGTGAGAACCAAATATTCATGATGCATATCAGGATGTTGGAGTTATACATCAGCTAGATTTGGACCATTTATCCTCAACATATGATGAAATCTCCCTTCACCCCTCAAGAAGCTCATTTGGAGATTAATCTGCTATTCATGATGAATCTTCATGTTATTCATATACTTATGTACTTTCATTGTGAATATTTGGTTCCTTGATTCTCAAAATATTTACGATTCCTAAATGAACTTTTCCCTATTGTTATGTAACATGATTTTGACATAGAGGTCAATAGTGGTAAGATCATGTCAATACTCTAACCTATCCAACCACAAACTTTTCCAGCTCAACCAATACCTACGGTTTTTAACACAACCATTATATGCACATCTATTACTACAAGGCCTCACATTGAGATAATGGAACCAAAAATATAACAAAGAAAAACAGGTTTCATACCGATAATCATATGTCAATGGTTCTCCAGCTTTGATAGACCTAGCAGCAAAGACACCAACACGAGTCTCCCCATCAACATCCCTAAATAAACAAATTGCCATGTTTTATTTACTTATAAGAATCCCAAAGTAAGTGTTGGTATGATTAAAATACAAACCGTTTCAAAAGCACAGAAGGCAGCCCATGTTCAGTTGTTACATGAACATATAGGGAGGCATAAGTTCCCAGATTCAATCAGATAAGTTGATCACAAACGTTCATATGAACTAATCTTCAGATAAAAACAAGAACCCAAAATTTGTTCAAGGTATTTGGCTTCATCGATGTAAGGTTAATACCATCTGTGTAATTCTAATTCTACAAACTAACGTTACATAAAAATTTACGCTGTTAATTCCCAGAATAGAAGCAACAGTTCACTGGAAGCTTTGTTTAAGTCAAAGTGTTTGACTATTAATCAAATATCTAAAATGTCCCTTAACTCTCGCAAAATAGGGAAATCTGTGAAAAGAAAAATCAATGTCATCAATAGTTGTAATTGTTACTAGTGGATGACAAGGAAATCTTAGATTGAGACTTCGATCAAGAGAGGACATTTATTTGCGGACAAAGGAGCCTAATAGTTGATATCTATCCTATGAACTTAGTTCTGGACAAAACAAGTTCCTAAATATGCATCTTTGAACCTGAAAGATACGTAAATAAGACTCTCTCACTGGTCTATGATGTCCTAAAGAAGCATCAGTTAAAATGGAGGATGGCAAACAAAGACTATATGCAAGTTTAGACCCAGGATTACATCAAATTTCAACATTTGAAACTTATCTAACTTCAGACTACAATCTAATGATCAAAGAACTAGCAAAGCAACTATGAGGTTCTTCATGCTTACCATTTTTCCAGATTACAATTAGGACCACAACTATGATTTAGGAACCGAGAGGCGTTCCCCTTGAAAGTAGCATCAATGGTGAAATCTTTTCGAATTTCACACATATAGAAGTTTTTAATGCCCTGGTGCTTCATGTCCCAAAGCCGCTGCTCACATAAAGCATCACTAATAACTGAAAAAGTAAGTTAATAACTCGGTTAAAACTAATAGAAGGTAATAATAGTTTATTACAACTTCACAAATAGTAATCAACCATTGTGGGAACTTTATATAAGAAATCCAATCTTGAAGAAAAGGCATCTAACAGTTACCTTCCCCAACATATTCTATGATGAATTCACCCTTTTTGATAGCTTCAGCAGCCTCTACACCCCAACCACAACTGTCAGTCTAAAAACCAACCAAAAATGAAGAAAGACACATTGTTAGTATAAGCATGGTATATTTTGAATGAAATTTAAAATATCATCAACTTCTATAGTGAGCTTACCAGAACAATCTTGATCTTTTTGTCTTTCCGAAAGGGCTTGTTTGTGCATATTTCTGAACATCGACAAGCCTTTGAACAGCTTATACATTGAAGCCTGTTCAATCAAAGGTAATGTCATTTATCGGCAGAATCTGTGCAACCCTATCACATTACTCTCCAAAAGAGCCGTTGAGGAGAGAAGGGAGGTTCCAAAATATATCAAGAAGAAACGGTCAAAGATAGCCGATGTGGGACTCTAAACACCAACAGACGCTACAAATTGTCCCAGAGTGTCGAGAGGGGACTAGACGGATATAGATTACCCCACAGTGTCGAGTCCCTTAGAGTGGTAGACTTGGCTCTGATACCATGTGAGAATGTATATGTGGAATCCCATTAGATTACTCTCCAAAAGAACCCCTAAGGAGAGAAGGGGGTCGGACATACATTGAGATGAAATGGTCCAAGTCTTAGCAAAATCAATGACAAATGTAAATGAGTAAATCAAATAGCAATAGAACACTATAGCAGTACAAAATACCTGCATACACAATCTTCAGAGCATGTGCTAGAACTGCAGTCAGTGCATCCTATACTCCTATTAGTGTCGTAACGTTTTTTCTTTACAAGGTAGATATCTAATTTTAGTTGAGGATAGTGCACGTTATGTGAGCACTCAATCAGTCTTCCTTGACATGATTTATGAATAGTCTCAGTCAAACAATGAATAAATTGAGGAACCACATCATGCCAAGGATACTGCGCCTAATATGCACATATGGAGGTGGCTCCAGTTTGTTCTCCATCGTGTCTTTCAACATGGGATCAATCTTGAACTCCTCCACCATATATGGTAGTGGTATACGACCAAAGAGTTCCTATTATATATAGGCAAACGGTTAGCCTGTAATCAATATTGTAAAGTTAAGCACAAGGAGTAACACATAAATTAGAGGATATTAAAAAGAGTTCAATTAGTTCTCGGCCTCATAAAAAATGGATCATGCCTCAAAATGATTGATGTTTTTGGTATCAAAATGGGAACTCATGTATAAAAAGGAAAGTTAAACAGAATGATTATTTAAAACTTCATTAAAGAAAGTTCACATCCGTTAAATGACATAATAGTAAAAGGTTGATAGAAGTCTCACCTCTATATTATTAGTTGGAACTGCAGGCTGCTTATTCAACAAAATACATCAGTCCTGTCATCCAGCCTAATTAATCAAAATGAGGATCGACTAAGAAAACCTAGAAAGAAATAGAATGAAAAATGTTGTAGCAGGTGTGCTACTTGATTAAGAAACCTTAATGTACATTGAGATTCATCTGATAAGAAGATAAAGCCAGCGACATAAATGATAAACTGATTAAGAGATAAAGCCGGCGACACAAATGACTAACAAGGAAGCAATGAAATATCAAAACATTCACAAGAAAACATGATAACTATGCTGATGAAGGAAGAGATTGACCTTTAATGGTGGCCAATCGGTAGCATGCCTCCAACACACTGTTTGCGAAGGGAGGTCATTAGAACGCAACACATACTCCGGGTATGCTGCACACTTGTCATGTGATGCTAAATGGCATCGTGAACACCGCCATAAGTGAATTTTCTTTTTGCATAGGAAACATGCCTATTGAATAAAAGATGTTAATCACAGACGAATATTCCAGGAGGGTATTAGAAAGAAAAACTGAGCATACAGGTATTATCATACATATAATTTGTGCAGAATTGAAGTTACAAAATTCAGGTTGTTTTCCATCTATTACCCTTTTGGATATCAGTTTCATTCCATCAATTCCAATTTGGAGTCGGTTTTCAATTTCGTAAGTTCTAACACAGTACTTTTTTCAAATCAGAATTGACACAGATGTTTTCAGTTTTCCATCTCCAATTTTTTCAACCCAATAACTGTTATGCAGTTTAAATTGTCTGATGTGTTATCATCATCTTTTGGAGTGAGAGTATTTAACTTATGTATTGCCTTTTCTAATTTTTTCATTACCTAATCGATTTGAGGATATTGGTATAGAGTTCGTGTGAGAATTTGTGGAACCCCATCAAATTACTCTCCAAAAGAGCCTGTAAGGAGAGAAAAGAGGGATCCAACATATATTGAAGAGAAAGTGCCCAAATCTAGGATGCGAKGCTCTAACACCCCCTCCAACACAGGCTAGACAGGCAAAGATGTCCCGATGGTAGACTGTGGTTCCTATGAGAATATGTGAAACCCTATCAAATTACTATCCAAAAAAGCTCTTGAGAAAAAAGGGAGGTTCCAACATATATCAAGGATAAATGGTCCAAGTCTAGCCAATGTGGGACTCCAACACACCCCATCCAACAGAGGCTAAACAGACGCACATTGTCAAAAAGTGTCGAAAGGGGGCTAAATGGGCATAGATTGTCCCAAAGTGTCAAGTCCTTAAAGTGGTATACTTAGGCTCTAATCTTATGATAGGATGTGTGGAACCCCTTTGAATCTCTCTCTAAAAGAGCCTTTGCAGATAGAGAGGATCCCCATATATATACAAGTTTAATGATCCGTGTCTAGCCGATGTAGGACTCCAATAGTTCGATTGAAATTGTTAAGTTGCCAAAGCCATCTAATTATATTAAGGTTGATGATCCTTATCAATGTATCTCGTCACCTCTTTCATGATTTTTTTAATAGTTAATACATACATCACATGTGCTTTTAAAGTAGTTGTGCAATAGTACAAACCCAGTATACATGGTAAGTCAGCGATTACATTCTATCATTGCAGATCACCTATGGAAGTACAGATAATCTAATTTCGACTTTGTGGAAGAAAACACATTTTCTTCCCCATTCGTTGGCACTTTAAGGGCTGCGTAGATCCAACTATTTCAGAATTACCTCACGAATTTCATTATTCTCAACAGCAAACAGAAAAATAACTACAAGTTGATAACAAAATGACTACGAAATGCAAGGTCTATGTCAACTCACACTAGTAGTAGAATGAGCATGCAACAAAGAGCTTTCTATCTAGCATACATGTTAGCCCAGCCAAAAGCTAAAGGCACCCATCATTTATAAGTGAGCTTCAATGAACTTCACTGAAATGTTATTCATCAAAGTTAATTAGGGTAAACCACCTAAAAGAAAGTATGAAACAGCTTAAATTAGTCTTTTTTTAATCAAGAATGTATCCAAGGACAGAGAAAAGCATGACTATCGGCTCACTAATGAACCAGAATGAGCATATTACTTGTAAGATGCAACATGTTGTGAGATACATAGAAGTAAAAGAAGCATGATAAGATATCAAAAGCAATTAGATGTATTATGTATATAATAAAGATAACAAACCAAAGTAAAAATAGAAAAGAAAAGGCATACATGTTGAGGACACTTGAATGATTTTGATGATGGTGATAATCCAAGCCAGTCTCTTGCACATGTCAGGTGATAAGAACCTTTACAATCACGAACAACACATGCTACCTCCTCTCCAGGGTATATTACACTCTCACATACAAGACACTCAGCCTGAAATGAATTACGAAAGTTATTCGTCACATATTCAAAAACAAATCATTGTTCCATCATTCCATGTTCAGATTTTGCATACCCTAAATGAATCGGTGTGAACCACAGCACAAGAATTTATATTCAGATTCCAACCCCAATCAAATTGCAATAAGTGAGTAACCCAGAATCACCAAGAAAAAAAAACAGTTGTGTTGTTCCAATCTGGGGTCACTGGTCTCAGCATATAACAATCTTGAATACAAAATCACTTAAATGATAACAAACATGATCACAACTAACTTGCTGTGTGAACAAACTATGATAATATACCAAAAACGTGATCACTGGAGAGACACCATGGGTTTTACTAATCATTTTAGGTATTGATGAATAATAATCCAATAAACGATTCTTTGAACCTGCCATAAATTTAGGGACATATTCACTGCTAACGTCAGTTTTCATTACATAACAGAATATAGAAATTCTACCAGTTTGGGTGCTCCAACAAGGAACGGGAGAAACAATTTTGATTCAGGAATCCCCAACTCGACATTCTTCGCAACCCAATCACCCAAATAATCATCCGTACTCTTCGATTCCACCGACTTCTTGATCTTAACACACTTTTGTCGACTACTTTGATCTTGCATCAGAAAAGGGGTTTCTGCTTCTTTAGCAGAACCTGGGTCACCCAAATCGCAGTTTGGTCTTGAAGTATTATTAGTGCAACGAGATAGTGTAAGAGAAGACATGCTTACAAGATTGCCTAAATCAGGCATCGTTGCGATAATCATGTGTATATAAACCCTTGTTCAAAAATTTCAGACAAAATAAATTAGGGCAAAATGAGTATGTGATTTATCTGCTTCCTCCTATCAAGATTTTGTTGAGCCAAAGAACAGCACACACATACACACACATACACGCACACATACACACACACAGAGAGATATCTGGTGGTGTTTGTGCGTGTGAGAGAGAGAATGTGTGTGTGTGGATGTGGAGGGTCTTTGATGCAAAATGTCTTTCGTTTTCTCGGCGGGAAGTCTGAAATTTTCGGAGGTAAAGAAAACGAAAAAGAGTGAATTTACCAAAATGTCCTTGGACCATCCATTACATTGAAATTTAGAGGGAAAAAGTTTCAGGAAAATTCAACGATTTCTCCCTTTTAAATTGTTAACGGTTTATTTTGATTTTAAAATTTTGACAAAATACATAAAATAACAATCTATTTTCATTTAAAAAAAAATTATTATAACAATATACTTTCAAACTATTTTTTATTAGGACATTATACTTTGAAAAATTTACCCAGTGTAGATCACAATTTATTTCGTTAACATTTTTTAACAACATAAAATAAGAAGTGTTACTTTTTTTACAGACAAAATATATCTCGAAAATAATGTATCATATTTATTTAAAAAATATTTTACTCTAAAATATTTAATTTGCATGCAACTTAATAAGAAAAAGTCAAAAAAATGTTTTTTAAATCATATTAATGAAAAATGAAAATCACTAATAATAATTTGAAATATGTTTTTATTTGTATTTTAGTTAAGTCATCAAAATGATGTGTCATCCACATCATTTCATTAAAGCTACACAAGCAACAAAAAGTCAAGGGTTAACCGGTTGAAAAGGTAACAGGTTAGCATTGCTATAATAGGTAGATTTTTTAAAGTATGATGCCTTAATAAAAATTTATTTAGAAGTACATTGCTCTAATAAATAAAAACAAAAATAAAATGTTATAATAAGAAAATTTATGAAATTATTTATACATTTAACCTTTAAAATATTGATGAACTTGTGAGTAAATTATAATTTTAGTCCTTGTAGTTTGTTGTTTATTATTATTATCGTCCTTGGGTTTTAAAAACTACTTTTTTCATCATCTTGGTTTGCAATTTATTTCATTATTCGTCCCTCTACCTAACTGTATTTTAAAAAGTACATTAAGTCATGGGTAATTTAGTCTTTTTACATCCCTTTTTTTCTAATTAGCTACTCAAGTTGTAGGGAATTTAAAATAAATAAGAAAGCAAAGATCTAACTGCGCACAAAACCCCGTGTTTTTCAAATCTTTAGTCTTCATTTACATGATTGAGCGTCTGCAAATCCACTCAAAGCCGAAGCAACATCGACACCATCTACAGTTCCATCCAACAAGCAAATTTCAACAAATTTCGGTTCTTTTGGGTTTTCATTAATGCATCTAATCTGTTTATTCTCTTTGAAGGTGAGTGTGGTCGTTTTTGATCTTGCCCCAAGATCCATTTTGAAATGGAAACACACACTATTAAATGAAACACGTGTGTCTACGAACTTTTTCCTGGAAAATATGTCGATAAAAGTCGATAGGTAATTCAAATCAGTGACAGATCATTCGGGGATTATCTGGGTGATCCATTGGTATTTTTCTCGAATTTGTGTATTCTTCCATCACGTCTTCATTTCAAACGAATTTGGAGGGAGGTTTAAGAAGGGAAGAGGAGGGTGGTTTAGGAAGTGGGGAAAGAAGAAGATATATATATATATTATATAACTAGGAGGGTACTTGCACAATGCAGCGAAATACATCTCGATTTTAATGCTTCATTATAATACGATTTTATGTGATACTGAAAAAATGATAATCTTTTTAATTTTAAAAATATATATATATATATTTGAAAGTATCACAAAATTTTGAAAAAAAAAATATATCAATTTTAGTATCAAATTAAACATTTAAAAGTTCTTTTTTTGTAATTTCTTTAATTCGATTTTTTATTATAGTATAATTTAGAATTGATAATGTGATAACCAGATCCTGGTTATTACCCAAGTTATTTAATACGTGATTATCTGATTTAATAATTACGTAATAACATAATATTTTGATATGTGCTAGTATGTGCAGAACGTGATTTTATGTATGATATTATGTGTGAATGTAGAAATATATATATATATGGTAGGCATGCATGCATAAGAAAATTTGGATATGAGTTGTGCATACGTGGGTGTATGCATGTGTGTGTTTAATTGTAGGAGGTGGCAAAGGGGGAGGGGAAGGCGGTTAGCAGGCCTTCCCCCTTTGGTGGGTATAAAAGAGGGTTACCCCCCCTTCATTTACTTTTCATTGTCTTTGAGAATTTGAGAGTGCTTTTAAAGAAGTCATCCGGATTGCAAGAAATTGTGTTTCAAAGAAGTGGATTGCAAGCATTTGGTTTTAAAAAGTCTTTAAGGTGAGTGGTTTCTAAATCTTTTGCATAAAAATTTACTATTGATTTTATTAGTATGTTTCGTATTCTTATCCTTTGAAATTGAATTTTGATTATATTGTCTAAGTGTTTAAACCGGACAAGCCTTGAGAGGTTTATTGACCAGATTGTTTTAAACCGGACAAGCCTTGAGCGGCTTAGTGACCGGACTAGTTTAAACCGGGCAAACCTTGAGCGGTTTGTTGTCCGGAGTTGGTAAACCGGGTGAGTGTGGTGAGCGGTTTAGTCTTAAACCGGGCGAGTCTTGAACGGATTGTTGACCGGATTTGTTATCCGTTCAATATGAATTTTATTCTAAGTGTTAAACCATTCAATGAAGGTGTGATGTGTTGTCCGGACTAGTATCCGAACAAAGTTGAATAAATTGGACAAGTATTTGAGATGTGTTGTCCGGATTAGTAAACCGGACAAAAGGGGACAGTGTTCTCCGGATTTCAAATCCGGATAACTTGTCCGGATAGTTTTATATTGAAAATTTTATAAGTTTTTAATGTTTATTTATTTATGATTCATAAAATGATTATTTTATATCTTTTAAAATAAATGATATGTTCCTACCAAGCGTGGTGACGTAAGTCTGTTTTGGTATTGGAACGGGGTTTTGTGAAATGTTTCTACCAAGCGTGGTGACGTAAGTCTGTTTTGGTACAAAACTATAAACCTTCCTATCAAGCGTGGTGACGTAAGTCTGTTTTGGTATGGAAGTGAGTTTTAAATGGTAGTTCCCCCAGACGTGGTGACTTTTGTCTGTTCTGGCTTTGAACTGGGAATGAGTACTTTCAAACGTGGTGACTTATGTCTGTTCTGATAAGTAGCTCTGTTTTATTGGAGGAATAAGGGTGGCATATCAAGGAGAGGTGTACTTTGAATAAGGGTGGCATTGTCATATGTGGATATTATTATTATGACTCTTATTATTATTACTAAATTGAAGTTAATAACTTTGAATCATCATTTCTTTGTGACCTGATGAATTAAAGATATTATTCCTATTTAGAAGTAATAATTTAGATGTTATTGAGAAAGGGAAAATGGTTTGTCATATCAGGTAAGTTTTGCCTTAAATCTTTCCTGTTAAAGGAATGGTATTTTAATTCAAAAAGTTTTGGTATTGGGAATGTTAAATCTCTGTTAAGAGATATTTTAAAGAAGTGAGGTTCTTGGATATRCTTCTTTTTGCATGATATTGTGAGCTGCATCAATTGTTATATTGCAGTATATTTCTAAGCCAAAATTACATTATCATATTTTGGTGTTCATCACCCTGCATTTGCAAATAGGGGATTTACTCACTAGACCCGTATGGTCTAACCCTCATTTTCTGTTTTAAATTATACAATGCATGAATAGTTGGGTCCGGGAATATWAAAGGGAAAGGGAAAATGTGATTATTTTCCTAACCTATTGTCTGCTTTTGGAAGATACATGTTATATTACATGTWGTAGTACAGGATTTGTTTTGGAAATTTTGTATGTAGATTTTGTACATATAACAATCCTTGTACTAGTGGGACATTTTGATGTAATTCATGTTTCTATGTAATGAAATATGTGTTTTATGCAAAAGTGAAGTATGGGGGTGTTACAGAAGTGGTATCAGAGCCTTAGTTTAAGAGATTTAGGTATTCAAAGCATGATCCCTAAACTTAAACTGTCATTTGCATGTTAAGAGTCCTAGACATTATTAGTATCACTGGGAATAAAATATAATGGGTTAAAGAGAACAGTATGTAAGGTGAATTCGAATTACAAATGRCCAATGTAATTATGAATTTACAGGTACATATCTGTACTTGGACACCATATTATATTTGAGAATGTAAATACGTGATATTTAATACTAAAATATCTGCAGATGTCTAATCAATCGCGAAGGTCAGAGAGAACTGCTCGCCATGTATCTGAGGAAAGGGAAGAGTCACCTGTTAATCTTCCAACTAGCATGTCCAGAAATAGAGGTCGGGGAAGACCAAGGGGACGTGGTAGAGGAAGAAGTCAGTCACATGGAAGGGGTCAAACTGAAATACATTCTGAACATGAGGAATCCCACTCTGGAAATGTTCAACAGGAGCAGAGACAACAATCTGAGTTCATAACTAGAAAGGATTAGCAGAAGAAATGAGAAAACTAAGGGAAACTCTAGTATCTATTATGGGACTGCCAGCTAGAGTAGAAACTGAGCGAGTTGGAATTAATCCTCCAGTTCCTTCAGCAGGCAGCAACAATCGGGGAGGAGATATAAAAATGTTTCTGACATGTAAACCTCCAACCTTTTCAGGAGAAAGAGATCCAGTTAAAGCAATGTGCTGGATAAAAGAGATTGAATCGGTATTTAACACTAGTAGGTGTTCTGAAGAAGATAAGGTTAGATTTGCAGTACCCATGCTCAAATCTAATGCCTTATATTGGTGGGATGTGGAGTCCTCGGCACAACCGAATATACTGCAAATAATGTATTGGGAAGAATTTGTGAGTAAATTTAAAACACAATTCTGTCCTATGACAGCAGTAAGACAAATGGAGGAAGATTTTCTTAAGTTAGAGCAAGGGAACAGATATGTGCAGGAATATACTGAGAAATTTATTGAGTTTTCCCGATTTGCTGAGCATTATGTATTTTCAGAATCTC